GAAGGGCTCCGAGCCTTCCGCGAAAAGTTCCGGAGAGAGCAAACGAAGTGAGCGCGGGGACGGTGAAGAGAGTGTTTCTGGGNTGTTCGAGTGCATGTCCCATTTGCGGGGCGGAAAGAGTCGCCAGCTCAGCCCTGAAAGGGGACGGATGCTTCTCGCTGGGCTGAGATCGCCGCCTCCTCTCCTTCTCCGAGCACTCCTGGAACTTGGGGGTTGGTAGCTGTCCCAATCGCGCCCCCCACCCCTCCATGGCTCCAGCGCCCAGGCAGGGCTGGGAACCGAACGTACGAGTGCATGTCCCATTTGCGGGGCGGAAAGAGTCGCCAGCTCAGCCCTGAAAGGGGACGGATGCTTCTCGCTGGGCTGAGATCGCCGCCTCCTCTCCTTCTCCGAGCACTCCTGGAACTTGGGGGTTGGTAGCTGTCCCAATCGCGCCCCCCACCCCTCCATGGCTCCAGCGCCCAGGCAGGGCTGGGAACCGAACGTAGACAGACTTGGGCTGCGGGTGGGGGCCTGCAGAATCGCCCCACCGACGGAAACAACGCTCAATTGGGGGGGGGGAGTAGGAGTAGGTGTTCAATCAAGCCCAACCGACTTACAGCGACCCTAATAGGGCTGTCAAGGTAAGTGAGATGTTGGAGTGGTTTGACCCGTTTCAGTCCGCCATGGCGGAGAGGGGATTCCAACCCTCTTTGAGAGAGCCCTCGTCCCGCACTCTCTGCCCACGACACCACAGTGGAAATCCTAAACAGGAATATTGGGTGGTTTAATTCCTGTTAAAGGAAGCAAGACTCTGGGGGCCTCTGCAAAACCCAGACCCCCTTTTACAGCTATGAAACTCTCCTCCCCTCCTGAGTGGGTGTTCCCCCCCCCAACTATTAACCAAGCCCTATTTGTCTTCCAAAGCAACTCTTGTTGGCCGACACTCTCCGGACAGAGGCCAGGGCAGTCTGCAGACTCCATTGCCACAGGCCAGCCGAGAGAAAACCCGTGGCTAACGGAAGGGAAAACGGGGTGCAGCAACGCAAGATACCAGTTCATGAACTTAGACCTACTCGCGACTGGAAGGCCCCATTAGAGCAGACGTATTAAACCAATAGAAGGGTGATGCAGCTTAACATGCATTCCATGACTGATGCAAAAGGTGTAAATGGGGGGCAGGGGGTGTGAGCTGGCAAATGGGATTTAGGCGTTGATTTTCCTTAATAGCAATTTGTGCTATAATCTAGCAAAACACCCACCTTTCGGGCTCTCTGGACAGATGGGAGGGGGGGCTTCCTTTCCTCATGTTCCCTGCTCAGTGAGTGCCCTGCAAAGTGTAAAATCAGTTCCAAGTCAGCTGCCTTCTTCCCTTGGCCTTCCCAGTGGGCTGAAGCCCCCCCCCAATTGGGCTCCCCAGCAATGGCTAGTTGGGTCATGTTGGCGGCCGCGGTGGTGGGTGCTGGAGGTTTCCTCAGCCTTGCTGTGATGAGTCACCTTGAGCTCATGCTGTCTCTGGAACATCTAAGGGTGCTGGGGTGGTGTGTGTGGTGGTGGTGGGGAGGACAGGCCCATTTCCTGGGTGTGTCATCCTGCCGCTTTTCTGTCCTGAGTCACAGGGTTGGGAGTTCAATCGACAGGAGAGGGAAAGAAGCTCCCTGCTTGTAGCCAGTAGTCCCAAATTGAATTGCGGTCTTTAAGGAGAGGGTGGGGGTTGAGGGCTCTGGGCCTGTGCAAATGTGCCCCCCCCCGCTATCTTGGCCTTCTTGGCCAGTGGCTGAAGAAAGGGCCCTTCCTCAGCTCAGTTCTCTTCAGGCGAAGGACAAGCTCAGGCTTGGGACTTGAGGCTGGGGCGTGTGTGTTCATGATGCAGCCTTCCCATTTTACACCCACTGTTGGCTGAACAACATTCTTCAT